GTTAATTCCGAGCTTGCTGAGTCGTACCAGGTGGTCTGCAAGGAAGCGGACGATAGTGGCTCCAGCGAGAAGATTATCAATACTCGTGGCTATAAAGTAACGCTAACAGGCTTACATGCCGGCAGCAGATATTCAGTGCACGTTATTGCGGTGACCCGTGACGGACGCCATCGTTCGCTACCTTCCCAAGCAGTGCACTTCTATACGTCAGGAGTGGCTCCACGTGCAAATGCCTATCGGGAAAGTGTAGCTGTACCAGAGACAGCATTTTCGGTGACGATTGCTTGTCGCATGGAGATGCCCGGCACCATCCATAAAAGTGTCCATGTTGAGTGGAGGAAAGTACTCCAGCAGACAGGGCGCTACGAGAAACTTACAGGCGATAAATACAGCTTTACAAATTACGTCACTTCTCACGAGTATCCGCGTCACTACGTCTCCGCACTCCAAATCAAGTTTCTCAAAGAATCGGATTTTGGCACCTATCGTTGCACAGCATCTAACGATTTTGGCAGTTCGAGCGCTGATATTCAAGTGCTACAACGTACGTTAACCTCCGCCACACCGGTTCCGCCGGAACCGCCGTACACGTGTTGCCAGCGTCTGGGCATTCGATCACCGTGTGTTGCTGTTTGTGGTTCCGAATTCGGTAAACGAGCCTCGCTACGAGCTGAATCCTTCATCAACAGTCGTTGCGAGGACGAAATTGGCAAATTTTTGACATGCACCACGGCTGGCGTTGACGAAGGCGCCTGCTGCTTGCGGAAAAAAGTCCCAGGAATTTGTCTGCCACTTTGCGACGGCTCCCAGATGAGTCAGCTGGATACAATCCCGCATGAATGTGCTACTTACACCTTTTCAATATTTCAGTGCCGCATGGAAAACGCTGATAGTCGACCTGCTACTGTATCGGGCCTGAAAGCTATCCCAAATTCTGATGGTTTATTGTTGCGCTGGGATTTGACGCCACGTGCTGACGTCTACCACGTGTACTGGAAACGAAGATTTGGAACGAAGTGGGAAGTAAGTTCCGTGTTGACAGCTAGTAAACGCATTGCCGGTGCCGATGATATTGA